GAGGCCATCGCTTCTAGGTTGGAGGCCATCGCTAGTAGGTTGGAGGCATCGCTTCTAGGTTGGAGGCCATCGCTTCTAGGTTGGAGGCCATCGCTTTTAGGTTTGAGGCCATCGCTTCTAGGTTGGAGGCCATCACTAGTAGGTTGGAGGCCATCGCTGTCAGGTCAATTGCGGTCGAAGCACTGCACGCCTACAAACGTCGACGCATGCACGGGGACGACCGGACTTGGAGCAGCAAGTGGGAACTCTTCTTTTTCGCTGAACAAACACGCAGGATTTCCAGGAACATGTGCCAGGCATTGCCATGTATTACCCAAGCTGGATTTGTTTCCATTCATCGGCACAAGTGGTGGTCGGTGGTCTGAAGATGTCTAAAGTAGATGTCACTCAGGGTGTAGAGATACAGTGCCAATTGCATAATATATATGCCTGATGGAGACCCCCTGGTCTAGTTTGCTCATAAATGGCTAAATGTTTGCTTTTCCCAGTCGTGTTTGGGGGTCTCTCTCTCTCTCTCTCCCTCTCTCTCTCTCTCTATGTCAATACACACCAGGAAAAGGCTCGCGCACGTGTACCGCACGCAATACCAGTGGTCCTTTTCTACTGGCCAGACATCTGCTTGCGCGCGTGGGGCTCTTGAACCACTCAGGACTACGATGCTGTATGAGAACTGGACTGTGTGATCAATTGGTCTGTGTATGAAGGGGTCGACGGTGGCGATGAGGAGATGCGGAGACCTGTTCCACTCCATGGCTTTGCTTCCGAAGACGGTGAGTAGGGCGAAGTGGCAAACCCAGCTTCGTCAGTGACGGGTCCATCGGTCCACAACTTGGGAGCCTGTAGGCCTTGATCTGAGTCCACTGGAAGAAGCACCATGACCCGGTCGCATGCAGTTCGGATCCGAATTGGAAGCAAAGCCAGCCGCTCAGAGCCCCACAAGCCCAGCTTGAGAAGCTGATTTTCGGGATGTTGGGAGACCCCAAATCCCCACAGAACCTCATTGATTGGGGATGGATGCGGCTGGATCGGCCGTACTGTCCCAGTTTTAGGAGGTCCGATGGCTGGCAAGGGACTGGACGAACCACAAACGCACTTGATTGGAATAAACAGTTTCATAACAATTTCAGGTGGGGATTGGTCAAAATCTGGAGCCCCGACACCATGTAGCTTGATCCCGCAGGTAGGCATCCTGGTTTTGGCGCACAGCCAGATCCACCAAGAATCAGGAGATCTTCAGCGAACACATGTAACAAGGACGCTAGTACAAACAATAAGCTACTAGGAACAAGTGCATCGCTAATGGTGACAAGTGCCTTACTAGTAGTAACAAGGACGCTAGTAGAATAGACGTACAGAGACTTCTGGGGCGCAAACACCAGCCCTCCAGCACCGCAGGGCACTCCCGCGCCGCAGCCTGGCTGGATGACATTGCAGTAGATACATATATCTTTGGTGTGGGTCCAACCACTTCCCCAAAATCCACCGGATCAGTTCCAAGGTTAGCTTCAAAGTCATGAATCACCAAGATGGCTCGGGGCCTCCCAGAAACCACCTGAACCAAAGAACATTGAACAACACCCATGTCTCACCAGTGTTTTTTATCACAAACACTGGGGCCTGGTGGAACGATTTCTTCCAAACGTCGTTCGGAGTGGTTTTGACCGATTTCTTGTTCCATTTGGGTCGACGTCCTTGCCGTAAAGCTTTCCTGCTGGGAGCTGAAGCTCAGTATCCCATGCAGAAGCACGGACAGATGGCAGCCTGCAGATCGAAGAAAAGCAGGAAGATCTGAGGATCTCCCATCAAAACCATCCATTACACCCGAGAAACATCAATAGACACACACACATCATAGAAAAGACCCTGGTTTTTCACCTGTTTTCTTCAGCATCTTGATTCTCCTGGGTTTGGCTGAAGGATGGATAAGATGTCCTGTCCAAAAGGAAAGTGGGACGGTGGTCTTGGCATCGCCCAGACCCGATGTTCGAAGGGCGGAGATGGCTGATCTAGATCTCACTGAACCACTTAACAATTACTATGTTTGAACAAGGCCTGCAACCTAAGCATCATCCACAGAGGCTCTGGTAATAGGATAGACCGATGTGTATTTCAAACACATGCCCCCCCCGATCGCCCCTGTCGGCTTTTCGAAGAAGGGAATCAAACACTGTGGTGGAGGTCTCCGTATTACCCCATTTACTGTAAGTACCCCCACCCATCCATCCACCCACGCACCTGTATACACTAATTGAACACACACTGACACTTGCATTACGTTTCTTGGACTTTTGCGGTTTGACACCCGAGCGAGCCAAGCTTGGAGTCTCCTCCAAGGCCTTCGCTTTTCAAACGGATCATGAGTATACTGTGGATTTATCAGTCTGAATCTTTCACCATGACTCGTAGTGGAAAAAGGGCCTAGAGCCTTCACTCCGGGCTTAGAGCCTTCACCATGCGACCGCCACATGGCTGCCACATCTGTCCGAGGATAGAGCAGAACTCCCATCTGCATCCGAAGCTCCAAAGGTGAGCCTCGCCCCACCGGGTCCTGCGGGTCCCGCCATCAGTACGGGAAAGAGGGTGCTCCTCCCCTCTTTAAGAATCCGTTTGCTTCCTTTCGCGCGCAATATGTTCCCTTCGTGACAAAAACACAAATTGCTCGCTTTGCCCCGAAACTCTGTGGTTTTAGCTGCAGATGCGAGGTCATTCTGAAAGAATTTGAATGCCTTATTGTATATGACTCAACCCTAGAAGATGGCACGGACACAGCATGGCCTAACCGCCCAGACATGCACCGTCTTTTGCTCACCGGATCGTTGAGCGGATGTGGTTGTACGCCAGCCTCGATACCACTTGGTTGGGCCCTGCATGAAACTTCACGTTCGACTCCTACTGGCTTTATCTGTATGAAGGACCAAGATACGGGACAGCGTCCATATTTGTGACCCCAATTCTCACACCTAAGGGATCTCTAGCCTTGTGATCTCCATTTTGGTTCGGATAGACACACTCCCCAGTACGCGTGTGGTTGACCATGGAACGTATTTTCAGACATGCGAGAAGAACTGTTGCAGGAGAAGAAGCAGCATCTGCAAAGTTTCTGCCAGCCTTTTTGGGAGAATAGAGGCAACATGGCAAGACCCAGTTGCTTGGATTCCCTCCCCGGAACACCCTCAATTTTCACAACTCAATTCGTTTTGCGTACCATGTCGACGGTTTTCGACCGGCGCCCAGCACATCCCGGCGGAGTTGACCCGACGTTTCACTCGACCGGCGTTCGGGGCAAAGCAGACTGGGAGCTGCTGCCAGGGGGCAGAACAAGGGGGGAGACCTCTTCCAACGTCCATTTCTTCATGTGTGAGACATATGTGTCATGTGTTAGTCATGAATCAGGTGTCCATTTCTTCGGGTTTGGGAGTGTTTTTCTATGTTTTTCTTTGGTGCTTGTCGTCTGTTTGAGTGGAGGGTCAACATATTTATATGTATATCGGAGTGTATCGGGGTTTTGACTCATACAATCACACTTGGCTCCAAACTGAAGAAACAATCATGGACCAGGACCACGGAAAGAGTGCTTATTGGAAGGAAAGTACATAGTCCAGGGGTGTCTATCCGTGGTGCTGGGATGTATCAATTCACACCTTGGTTCACGGTCCATCGCTACAGCTTCCCCCCGAGTCCACGCTCGATTCGAGCGGCTTTTTTCGAAGCTTTCCACTTCTTGGTGCAACCCATCTACCCATTTGAACGATCAAGCTGGTTCCAAGATCTATTCAAGAAATGTATGTATATATATATATATCATATCCCATTGTTTGTCCCGTATTCTTGGCCACTTTCTTTGGCCCTAATTACCTGAAAGATCCCCATGCAACACATCCCATGCAATCACTCACTCACTTTGGGACCGGTTCGACCGCAGCGGATGCGACCATCCCTTTGCTGTGAGGCCAGCGACCTTCGGACGGTTTCACAAAAATCTCCGCCGCCTGTGACGCAGTGGAGTGGGGGGTAGTAGCTTGGGAGTAGGTGAGGGTTGGGCACGGTGTTGGATGGAGGAGCCTTTTGGAATCGCTTTCGGATCTCCTTTTGGTCACCGCGCGGGTTTGCGGGGTTTTCCCACCTCTTTCTGAACTAACCCCCGTGCGAGAATGAGAATGCCCCCAGAAACCTATCACCCTTTGCACTCCAAGCGACGAGTGTTTTCACTCCACACGACGGCATGTTCAGCTCTATTCCGATGTTCAGTCGGCCTCGGAGGTTCAGCCTGTTTGGGTGCACCTCCGAGGCCGACTGTTGATTCATTGAACCTCCCCAGACATGGATTGTAAAGCCTTTCACGTCGGGGTGGGTTTTGATTTCAGCCGAAAAGGAGTTCCACGTCGGGGTTTTATGACAAACCTCTCCAGTGAGTAGATGTGTTGACAGGGGGGGCACCGAACCGGACGGAAAACCTCCGTCACCTCCGAACTCGGAACCGGCACCGGTCACTTGAAATGGATCGCGAAAGCGCCAGCGTTCACGGTGATCACCACAGGGGCTTTGGTTGGAAAATGGGGTGCCACTCCAAGACCTCAAGCATCCTCAAACAGCCTCCTTTTGATCGGAATTTGTAGGTCATTCTTTGTGTAGTTGGTACACGCCCCTGAAAAAATCATGGAAGTGGGCAATGGTCCCTTGGATTACCATTTTCCACAGAACAAACATGTGGTTTTCCACTTCAATGATGGTTTCAAGGAATCTATTGGAATTCAGGCGTGAACCAGGTTCCAGACTTGTCAGAAAGGGTGCCAGACTTTAGCAGTCTGTCGACATGGTCCTCTGGGTCTGGGTAGTTGAGATCGCGTTTGGTCATCAGAGGTCAGTCTCCTGAAGAGGTGAAAGCTCAGGAGACTGACCTCTGATGACATCTCAGGTTTGGAGTATATAGGATGATGCCATCCCACCGATACAATCAATTGATAAAGAACCACCAGCACGCTCTTTTTGAGAGACACTTGAGGCGGTCAGAAGGGCTACTTGGACTAGGACCAACTACCATGCCAGATCAGTATGGGGCCCCCAAACCACATCGGATCGTCCACAAGACCAGAAGCAAATCTGTTCCTCTCGGGAAGGCTATGCCCTGATTCTGAGGTAGACTCCAGGTATTTTCATTGTAGCTGCTTGTAGCGCGGCACGAGCATGAAATGCTTACTTGCAGTGTTCCTTGCACCTTGTGCCCGTCCGGTCTGCAGCTGCTTGCGGGGTCAGCGGTTAGCTGGCTGGGCGCCTCAACCATGGAGGACCGGGAGGGACATTTGGCATGGGTCATTGGCAGAACTTGTTTGGGAAGATGGAGGCATGGAAAAATGAGCCGAGTAGAATTCATGAGAACCAAAAGCCGAGTTGAGGGTCCAATTCTCAGAGGCGCTGAAAACAACCGCTGAGCAGCTCCAACCCAAAGATTTCGGGGCAAAATGGCTAAGGCAGAGATCCACCTGGCAGCTGTTTAGAGCGATTTCGGGATTTGACTCTGGGCACCGTGTGGCACAAAGTCTCAGGCTCTTCAGAAGTCCAATCGCAGGGTCCTCTTTAAAGCAGTTGGAGGATTGGAGGGCTATAACGGCACAAGTGAAAATCCATCTTTCACATGCTTCATATGATGGAGAGGAGGACACGAAGATCCTAAGCTGCTTACTCACCAATCCCAGGTTCTCTAAGAGCCAGCTAGGCCAGGAGACCTCCCCTTCCTTTGCTTTAAAATTAGTCGCCTAGCTTAGCTAGCCTGGAAGATGTTCGGACCTCAACTGACACAGTTGTGGAGCCTCTCTATAGATTTCTCCCCTTTTTGGCCCCGGAAACACGGCATCTCAAGCCCATCCTGGATGGGACGTTTGGATCGTTGGTGTTCCCAACTGAGAACGCATCGATTTCACAGAACGCGCCGAGAAGCACCATGTTTCGCTGATCAATCAACGCAGCTGCCACCAGGAGTTGAGGCCTCCTCATGCGTGAGGGTGCCCAGAAAGACTCCAGGTCGATCCGGAATCTAAGTGATTTTCATTCCAATTTGACAAAAGACGATGACGAATCAACATCAACCATGTTTTGTAGCAGGTGATGGGACAGACCTAAGATCTAGCGCCAAAAGCCAGTCTGAAGTACTCCTTGCGAGGAGTGATTCTTGTGACTCACGGAGTCTTCCAGTCATCCGATGTGGCTCGACCATCGACGGGATGAGGTGGATGACGGGTGCCCAAGGGTTTTGCGTGTCTGTTGGTCCTAGTTTCCGCCTGTTTCCACCTGTACCTGTCACAGTGGGTGGTGTTTAGGTGGGATCGATTTTTTTGGAGGTCTCAAGTCATTTACTTGAGTGTAGTTGATTTCAACCAATCCTCCCCCCAGATCCGGAAAGGTTTGACATCTCCCGGCCGATGGGGGCTTTGATTTCACATTTGATTGGAACGACACACCTCTGCGGAAGGTCCCACCTGTTCCACCCACTGGAGTCGTTGGTCACCCGATCCACGGGGTGGACGGTGAAAAACAAGGATCGAACCGAAAGACACCAACGCCCTGTTGCTCAGAGAAGGACACCCCCTTTGTTGGACCGACGGCTTGTAAATATTTCACTGACTACCTCCGCGCACGTCCGCTGGGCGCCTTGCACGGCGCAGTGCAGCACGCACCCATGTGTTACATGTAAATATACATGTATAGTATAGTTAAGTTATGTTTATATCCACTTATAAGGAACCCCAAACATTCGTTCGGTCTAAGGCCTAGGGGTTCGAGTTTTGGGACCTGTTCCCAAGCGAACTAGCTGTCTACCTGGATCCACTGGGTGTATCTCCGCTTGGGGGCGAACGTGGGCGACCCGCCGAAACCGCCGCATCTCCCTAAGGAGCTTCTTGTTACTAGTAGTATGGCCAGGAGCCCCTAGTAGCTTCTTGCTCCTAGTAGTAAGGCACTTGTTCCTAGTAGCGTGGCACTTGTTACTAATGGCTTCTTGTTACTAGTAGTACGGCCAGGAGCCCCTAGTAGCGTCCTTGCTCCTAGTAGTCTCATACAGCGGGTCAAAGTGCATCAAGTCCTTTGTGTCTACTGGCTGAGTTCGCGTACCGGAGATGCAGTCTCATACAATGACCCTGGCAAACGAGACATGAACAAAGCGTGTCTTGTTCTCCACTTTGGAGGAGCACTTCGGCCACCTCTGCGGGGACCTTTTCTCAAAAGCAGCAAAACCGTTGGACCCTTCAAACACAAAGCTTCAGACAGGTTCCAAGGAGCTGGCCACTCCGCTTGGTAGACAGGTTCCGCCCCACGCTCTTGCCGCCCGAGTCGAGTCAACCATCGACCCGTGGGGTCGGACGTGTAGAGATCAGGTAGTCACATCAAGGCACCATGTGACCAGCTGCCATTCAAAGGCCCCAAAGGCCTAAGGGTGGTTGATAGTTCGTGAGCGTGAAGCGCTCCTTTTCTGTGCTAAAAAGGGCTCCGGTGCGATCATAGCCATAAGGCCTTCGAAACTTGGTACACTTCGATTTGTGCACCCACACTCCCCCTTTGGCCGATGGCCGAACACGGGGTCACAAATTGCCAAAAAGCCATCCTCCTCTTCGGAGGTGTGCTCAAGCCCCCTTCCTCACTTCTAGCCGGTCTTAAAGAGCGTGTAGCCCACCCAGCTGAACGGCAGGTAGCAGCCCTTCCGGCCCGATCGCTGGTCGACCACGATCAGCTTGGTCTTCCCGAGCGTGCTTCCGACCACCTGCCACGCGATCGTCATTCGCCACGGGCTCCACTCATCCAAGTCCCAAAGCCTGGTGGTCTCAAAATCGTACATCTTCTTTCGATCTTGCATGTGCTCCCTCACCGTGATCTTCTTGCCATGTTGATGGTCCTCCAACAAAAGCCAATCATCCTTGGCTGATGTCCTCCTCGGCGGGATCCCCACTCTTCGACGAAGCTTCTCCGTCAAAAAGCCCGGCTGGAAGTTCATGTCCCTCAAAAAGTCCAGCACCTCCTCATTCTTCACCTCCCACCTACCCATCGTGATGCCGTAGCCGACATGGGTGACCAACCGCAGAGGGCCATCAATCGAAGGACCAATTCCTGGTGTTGACTCCATCAGCTCTGGCTGTCGATCTGCAGCTCCTTGCCCGTCTCCGCCCCCTTCTCCGTCACCTTGTGGTTGACTCGAGGAAGCAGCCTGCACCCTTCGCTCCATTCCAGGCTCGCTGTAGACGATGTGGTTGCCCTCTGAGTCAACCCTGACCCAGGTTCCACCAAAATTCCTTCTCGGGCCCCTTCGCTGCATCATGCGGTCCCAGGCTGCCGGTCCCAACCCCAGTTGAGCCCTCCTGTTTCGCTCTGCCTCATAGTCGTATTCCCCACGATGCCATACATCTGGATCGGGTACTTGACGGCGTCCAGCTGGTTCAGGTCGGACAGCAGGTGGTTCCTCTGGAACATCCATCTCCTGTGACTCCGATGGCTGCCCAGTGGGTGTCCTCCGTAACTCTTCTGGCCTCGAGTCGACCCTCATCGCTCTCACCGAGATCCTGTTCACCGGGTTTCGGGTCCCCATCTCCTGGTGCTGGTAGGATGGGTCGTCTGGCTCTGCCCACGGGTAAAGGTCTTCGTGGGCTGAGTAGCCGAATCCCCGCGACCCTCGTGCAGTCGTGAACTCCTCCACACAGTTCACCTCCAACTCCAGAATCTTCTCGATGACCAGCTGGGCGATACGATCTCCTTTGTAGATCCGTAGGTCCACATCAGAGTGGTTTCTCAACAGCACTTTGACTTCCCCCCTGAAGTCCCTGTCGATCACTCCAGCTCCAGTCTCAATGCCTCGAATTGCCAACGACGACCGCGGTGCCACTCGTCCATAGCTACCCCTCGGGAGTTCCAACGCGATCCCGGTCTTGATCAGCACGCTGTCTCCCGGCTGTACCATGGTCTCGATGGTGGAGTAGAGGTCCAACCCAGCCGCCTGCTCTGATCCTCTGGTCGGTAGGATGGCATCTGGCGACAATAATTTCACCTTCAACTCCTCCTTTGGCTTGAACCACCTCTGCACTCCCGCTGCCCCGACCCTGAAGAGGATGTCGCCCAGGATGGCAATCGCGGCCGTGATCAAGACCAAGATCCACCACTCACTGCTCCCCTCCTCCTTGACCGTCTCGGATGCTTCGGCCCTGGTGACCATGCTTGCAACCACTATCATCAGCCCGATCACCTTCAGGAATCTCGGGTCCGGTGAGCTCCCACTCAGGTCCATCTTCTTCACTTCGATGTTCTTCGTCCCCTCATCACTCTCTCTCAACCTCAATGCCTTCTTGAAGTTCAGGAGAGGCTGTCCAGTCAGCTGCTTCGTCATGCCGTCCGCCACCAGCTCTGTCCCAGCCACGTGTTCTAGAGACACCTCCTTCAACCTCAGAGCCTCGGTCAAGCCTGCTGCCCTGATCCTCAAGTGTCTCGTTCTCCACGATGATGTAGTTCCAGCTGCGATGGCGATAGCTGCGGTTGAGTCGGAGTGCAGTTTGACCTGGATCTTCTCCCCAAGGACTGCCTCCATCAGCGATCCCGCTGACCTTCCACAGATCAGGCTCTCCAGCAGCGACATCAGTTCGGCCTCCGGCGTCGACAGGGTGATGAATGCTTGCCGGGTCGTATGCCAAGCAATCGGCGTGCCTCCCACGCAAACCACGATGCCCGTCAGGCTCTTCATGTCCGATGACGCATACGAGGCATCTGAGTACACTTCAACTCGGCTCAACCCATTCTCCATCCCCTCTTCAGTCTCGACCGTGCCGGAGATGCACAATGCCTCTCCCCTGGTTTGCCGAAGATAGGCCCTCACCTGCTTTCCGATGGCCATCACTGCCTTCGGTCTCTTCGTGGCCCACTGGCACATGATGTTCACGGCGAGGCTGACATCTGGTCTCGTTCTCCCCGCCACCCACAAGAGTTCACCGGTCTCCTTCTGGGCCTGGGTCACCTCAGACAACTGCGGGTTCTCTTCCTCCTCCGGGGTCTTAAACTGGCTCAGAGATGCCTTCCCCTGTTCGTCATACTCCATGAACAGGTTCTCCAAGTACGCCCTCTGGTGGATGGCAAAGTCCTGGCCCTTCTTCTCAATCTCCATCCCCAAGAAGCGCACCGGTTCTCGACCTTCCCTCACCCACTCCGGTTCACCAATCTTCCAATGCATCCTGACTTGGTCGATGAACCCCTGGATGATCTCTTCTTCCCCCACCATCAGTACGTCATCCACGTACGTAGCCAGTGCCCCCTTTGTTGTCCAGGCGTCTTGACCCTCCATCTCCTGTACCAGCCAGATGTCCGCTTGAGGTGTTGCATGCACCCTCACAGGTCTCCCTTCTCTCGACCACCGGAACTCCTTGATCTTGCCATCTCGGTGGTCACACCAATCCCGTGGAGAGGTCACTAACCCGTAAAGGGCTTTCTTGACGAGCCACAACTCCTTTTGATCTCGAAGCACTCCAGCCTCCTGAAAGATTCTTGGTGGTTGGACTACTACCACTCCACGGTCATGAGCCACAGGGGCGTTGAGGAACGCCGTCTTAACATCGAGGGTGCTCAGAGCCCACTTGTTGATCGCTGCCATCTTGATCAGCATCCTCACCTCAATCCCACTGGCACCGGAAGCGAACGTGGACTCAGAGCTCTTGGCATGCATGAAATTTCCACATGCCACTCCACGACATTTGTGTCGACCAGTGCCTGCTTTTCGGCTGAAGATGGCCTTCGCGGGCACCAGGTCAAAGTCCCTGCCCTGCGCCCTCGCCTCCTCCTTCAACCGGTCCGACTCCTCCTGCCCAATGGCTTCCACCGCCTCGGACTCATTGGTCAGTGCGACGTACTCCTCGATCATGGACGGCTTCCACTCTTCCATGTTCTTCCTCACTTCCGTCAGACTCACCATCCGCGTTTGCAGAAACTCTGGGGCCTCCTCCGACTTCTCCTCGATCTCGGCGACCATGTTCCT